ACAACCTTCTTAGCCTTTGCAGCTGCCGCTCTCAAGCTTGCTCTGCAGTGTCGTTGTTGCTGGTGCAAATGAATTGGGAGAGACTGGGATAGGCGGGGCCTAGACACAGGGTCCTGTACCCACCTAGCACTGCTCCGTCCCTTGTAAGCCTCCCAGGCTTTGCCTCTTCTGCCTTGTCGGTGGCTCTTCATTTAGAGTCACTCACTCAGCTAAGGCCAGTAAAATTGGTTTGCTCTGTAGCGTTTACCAAATCTCCACGTGGTGAGAAAACAGGTGTTGAAGCAGGGACTTGGAGCTGTTTGCACCAAGGTTCCTGTCATAGGCACTCGGAGAGGCATCACCAGAGTGCCTGTGTTCTGTCAGCCGGATCTGCTCTGAGGGTGGGGTGAGGCCATCTGCTCAGTGAGTCTCCTTGGTTTTTTTCTAGGATTACTATGGAATTCCTTTTGCAGCACCCACACCCCTTGCCAGCCGAGATGGAAGTTTAGCTAATAATCCATACTCAGGTTAGTTGGCTCCGTGAGCAAGAGAGGGAGGCGATGGGCTGGCTCGTAGCCATAGGAGACCAGAAGGGCTGAGGTGCTTGAGCTGTCAGTCAGACCTAACAGCTTAGCCTGCTGTTCTTCTAGGTGACGTCACAAAGTTTGGCCGAGGAGACTCTGCATCTCCTGCACCTCCAACACCAGCTCAGGCACAGCAGAGTCAATCTCAGACCCACCACACGGCACAGCAGCCCTTTTTGAATCCTGCTCTGCCACCTGGGTACAGCTATACCGGCCTCCCCTACTACACAGGCGTGCCCAGTGCCTTCCAGTATGGACCCACTATGTTTGTGAGTATTTTCAGATCGTCCCGGGGCTGTGGGTCCTCGAGGCATCTGTCAGCAGTGAGCGAGTGTGGCCACGAGCCCCAATGCCTTACAGTTTGGCCTTGAGGATTACTGCTCAGGTCAGATTCTGTTTCCCGGCTGCTTTTATCCATCATGGATTGCTCTTAGGAAAAGGCTGGTTCTCTTGGCTGTGATTTAGTTTTGCCGGAGGCTCAGAGATCTGCCTGATCTCTTTGCCTTATTCTTACACTCCACCCTCACCTGCCTGTCCTGTCCCACCAGGTCCCACCGACCTCAGCAAAGCAGCACGGTGTGACCCTCAGCACTCCCCCTACCCCTTTTCAGCAGGCCAGTGGCTATGGGCAGCACACTTACAGCACAGGTAAGGGCATAACTCCGTACTGAGGGGCACAGGGTTGGACAGATTTGCTTAGCCCACACATGCCTTTTGTACCCTGCCATGCTAGGTTATGATGATTTGACCCAGGGGACAGCGGCAGGAGACTACACCAAGAGTGGCTATGGTGGATCATCACAGGCACCAAACAAGTCAGCTGGATCTGGGCCTGGCAAAGGTAGTGTCACTTCCTCTCCAGGGCTAGGGCCTGCAATACTTGTCTCCTCTCTGAGGCAGGCAGGAGCACTTAACTGTCTTTCCTCCTAGGAGTATCAGTATCTTCAGGCACCACTGGTCTACCGGATATGACTGGTTCTGTCTACAACAAGACACAGGTGAGGGCCTACAAAGACGAGCAGGTAGATGAGAGAACAGTTTAACCTGAGCTTCTCATTGTCATCTCTGTCCCATAGAACTTTGACAAGCAGGGATTTCACGCAGGGACACCCCCACCTTTCAGCCTGCCCTCTGCCTTGGGCTCTGCCGGGCCGCTGGCCCCTGGAGCAGCAGCTGGTTATGCACCCGCACCGTTCCTGCATGTCATGCCGGCCCACCAGCAGCCCCACTCCCAGCTGCTGCACCACCACCTAGCACAGGATACCCCGGTGAGCGCAGTAATGGAGGCAGCCTCCCTACCATGGGCCTGGGGTTCGGTGCCCGCCTTTATAGCCTTTTCTCCTCTTCCTCCTCAGAGTGGCTCTGGTCAGCGCAGCCAGCCCAGCTCCCTGCAGCCCAAGTCTCAAGCCTCCAAACCCACCTATGGCAGCTCTCCATACTGGACAAACTAGACCCTGAAAAAAACGAGGGTGGGCTCTTGGGCAGGAGAGAACACATGGAGCACATTTCTGGGAGCACGGTGCCCTTTCCTAGAATTCTTGAGACCTAAATGTGTCAGCTGAGCCTCTATGGGAAGCCTGCCTCCCAGACCCACTGTTGTATGTGATGTATTTATGTATGTGTTTGTAAATGTGATATAAGCCCGGAGGAGTTGGGGTGTGTGCTCTCCCCATGTGGACACCCTCACTGTAGCCAAGCAAGCCCCACCCCTTCTTCCTTCTGGCCTCCCACGTGGCTCCCGGCTCAGTGGGCTATTTGAAGGACTGCTGGTTTGGGGACTGGGGTCAGGTACCAATGAAGAATCACGACTTTTCTTTATCTCGCTCGCTGTGAACCATTGTTTCTACCCTCTGTAATTCATACTGTTTTTGAGAAACTGATTTTTGTCATGGTCCCCATTCCAACAGATCTTAATCTGGGAATAGCAGAGATGACCCCTGTCCAGCAAAAACCCATCTGCCTGTCACAGCAAGGCCTTCTGGTTTGGCCCTACCCTAGGGGCTTGCCTTTGACCAACCATTTAAAACAGAATCTGAACTGGGTCTCAAGATGTTCAGCCAGTCAGCTCCCATGAAAATAAATCAGTCCGCTTCCATCTCAGTGAAAGCCCGTACCAAACAAAGGCTGCTCCATACCAGTTGTCCTAAACCAGGCGGGCAACTGTTTCAGGGTTTTCTCTCATCCAAACTCCACCTAATAAAGTTCTGAGAGCAAGCTGGTTCTCTGTGTACTGTGACTAAGGATGGTTTGGGAGTCACTGGACCTCACAAGGACAGCCACTTGAATTGTCTTTTGACCTTTCTCTGTAGGCCTAGGCGGTGCTCAGAAAAGCTAATATGCCTTTTCTGGCCATCTGTATAATGGTCCGGAGAGCAGAAGTGCCAGGGTAGTGACTGGTAACCTGAAAGGAAGCCAATTATTACTATTATTATTCCAGGCCCATAACTGCCTGTGCCTGCCCCTTGCTTCCGCTGACAGTGGGATAGGTCTACCTACGGAGTCAGGTTGGGATGGCATTATCTCAAGTGTCAGCTCCAACTCCACAGCACTGTTTCAGACTAGGCTACGTAAGAGGAGCACACTTCATTCAAAATGCTCTGAGGACAGGTTTTGGGGGAAAGGGAGCAAAGGGTGTAATCCCAGAGCCAGGCAGAGTTGGGGATTAGCGAGTTTGAAGTGAGCCATTATCTACTTAGATGAGACTATTTGAAGTTTGGAGGATTTGGGGTTCACAATGGCAGACATCTGCTTTAGTCAGGAGCAGTAGTCAGCCATCAGACCCCTGTAGCTGTTGACTCATGATTCTGGCCAACTGAGAGATTCTACCCCCTGTGTAGTCTCCTGCAGCAATCTTTGTTCCTCTGCCCCATGAATGAGGGGACTAAAGGAGGTTATTGACTAAAGGTGGTCTCTAAAAAGTCCCTGGAGCCCAAGTGAGACCTGGCTATTGTCCAGGTGGGGGTGGGGAGGGATGACCCATGGGGAAGTAGCAATACAGGTATATTTTATTTCACATTTTTTATTAGGAGACAGATGGGCAGAAAAAAACAAACCATTAAGGAGAAGTCAACACAAAATGCATCGGGTAAACTTGTAAGTTAAACTGAAAAAAAAAAAACCATCAATTTTAGCTAACGAAACTACTAAAATTGGTTGTGTCCGCTGGTTTAATTGAAAATTGCATCTGAATCTTTTTAGTTGCAAATGTAAACCTTGTGCATCAGGGTGATTTTTCAAGAGAGCTATACATTTCCCTTCCAGTGGACAAGATGGAACCCAGCAAATAATGGCCAGGAGAGGGGGAAGAAGGGCCTACAAAAGTAGAGCGTGGCTGATAGGATTCTGGAATAGTAAAAGAGAAGCAACAACAGAATCATGTCACTATATACTTTCTCCACTCAGCCCCAGTGCGGCCTTGATTAGACTAAAAAGCTGTTCTTTTCACATCAAATGCAAACCTAGCCTTAACAGTACTGTCAACAGAAGCTGAGAGGCCCACCTCCACTTGCCTCTCTGGCTCCATAGAGGCCAACAGGGAGCCTCCCATGATGCCAAGGTTTACCATGCCTGGGAGTGAGATGCTTTAGCTTCAGTGGGCTGGGTGTAAGGGGAAAGAAGAACAGCACTACGTATGGATCCAGGGTTGCAGGCTATCCGGGAGTATTGAGAGGAATTTTAAGTCTTTACTATTGAAACATTTCTGGACTAAACATTCTCATTGAAGAACAGACCCAACTTTAGAGGTCAAAGAACTGGGAAATAGCATTCAGTTCAAAGAGTGAATGAAAACCCTGAGATCAGAAAGGAAGGGGCGCCTACCGACAGTGGAGGATCCATCCTCCCCAGTTCCTATCTGAGCTGGTACACAAGGATTGTAGCATCCTATCCTTCTGAAAACTAGTTTTATATTATAGCAGTTTGCTGAAACAGGAACAAAAATTTTACTTCAAATCTGAAGTCCCTGGATGGTGAAGGCTAAAGGAGTTCACTCTTGATTGAAGCAAGACGTGATTGAGATCTGGGAAACAGCTGCAGCAACTGCAGCCCTGCCCAAACTGAGCCTAGGGAAGCTCCAGGAACAATTCCTGCTTGCACTCTGGCCCAAAGTGCCGTCCAGATCAAGGTCACACACGTGTCACTATCAGGAGGAGCAGCTCGATGAAAACCAAAATCTTAGCACATGCACCTAGGATTAATACTGAATAATTAAAAATGGTTAATTAAAAAATAACCCTCATTTGAGTATCTGAGATGTTTCCTCCCCCAACAGCGGCTTTTGAACTTCCCCCTCAGCAGCATCAATCAAGACTGGTACAATTTTCAATTCTGTTTTCATAACTAAAACTTCACACACACTGCCTTTCACGTCCCCCCCACTCACCCCACTCAGAAAAAAAGATACCCTATCTTTAAAATAAATAGCAACCAAGTGCTCAGTTCTATGTAAAGTATGAATATTTATTTCAGGCTTTAGATCCCAATCAATTCCAAAAAAACAAAATCTGATTTCTCTCAGAGTAGCTGTAGCCTCCATGTTGGGGTGATGTCATAGAGGCAGAAGCAGCACACTTCATCAGGATTAGCAAGAGTAAGTCCCTGATGCCCACTGCATCCCAGCCTTAGGAAGGGAAAGAAACAAAATTCACCACCACGGGCTGAACAAATGCACACGCACTAATGGAAAGGAGCAGCTAAACCTTGCTTGGCAAATTGGCTTTTTTTTTTTTTTAAAGTTTGTTTTGTGGGTTTTGTGGTTTTTTTTTTTTTGGTTTTGTGTTTTTTTTTTTCCCCCATTTTCTTTTGCTACCCAATATATGCAGCACTTGTGGACTCCCAGTGCGTTCCCAGCTTTAAACACATAATGTCTTAAACAGACTAATTCTTCAAGAATCTAAAAACAGACAAACGTGTTTTGCTGTGAACATTCTGCAGAGATGAAGTGAGGTGGGAGTTTGAAGGGTGGTGGCTTTTTTTTTTTTCCTTTAAAAAGAATCAATACAGTGATGGAAGGGTAAAGAATGCAAGAATTCAGACATTCTGTGGAGGGTACTTTCTCTCCAGTAAAGGTCCATAAAAAGGAGCAAACTGAGATCCGCGGGGAGTCAGCAGGAGCTGTGTGTTTCCCCACCCCATGAGTAAGTTTTTGCTGAGGGGCCGCCATAGATCCCCACTTGCTCCCCTCCCTTTGGCCTGAGACGTCAGGGCAGTACAGGGGCACTGAAGGAACATGTCACGACTCCTCGTTCCCAGAATCATCATCATCATAACAGTCGGCGTCCTCTTCCTCCTCGTCTTCATCATCAATGTCGTCGTCATACAAGTCGTCATACAGCAGATCTGAGCTGTTGTCATTGGAAGGCACTTTAGTTTTGATGCAGTATTCTGCCAGGGTTGTGGGGACCTTCACTCCATCCTTTTCTGCTTCAGCCTTAGTGGCCGAGACCTGTTTCCTGAACAGAGAATGACACAATGGTTTGTGCGAGTCTGCTTTTGTTTGAGAGGATGTCACTAACATACACTGGCCTTCAACTCTAATCCCCTTGCCCTTAAGTCTCCTTATGTGGGGATTATGCCCAAAACCCATCTTACTTGGTTTAAGCTTCTGTTTTTAAGAAACTTGTAACTGACCATAATCAATAAATATTCTCATCACTCACTTTGAATACTCCAGATAGGACAGGTACCCTGCAGCACACTAAGGCAGGTGCCATCATAGAGGCTCCTTGTTTAACATTTTAGCCTTGTTTGAGACAAAAATCTCTTCACTGTAATCCTGTTTTTGCCTCCCATCTCCTGCTGAGGGCTCAGGGATTACAGATGCTACTACTGGCTTTTTGTTGTTGTTGTTTGTTTGTTTTTCGAGACAGGGTTTCTCTGTGGCTTTGGAGTCTGTCCTGGAACTAGCTCTGTAGACCAGGCTGGTCCGAACTCACAGAGATCCGCCTGCCTCTGCCTCCCGAGTGCTGGGATTAAAGGTGTGCGCCACCATTGCCCGGCTACTACTGGCTTTTTATGTGCGTTCTGAATTTAGAGTCAGCCTTGTTTGTGTGTGTGTGTATGGGGGGAAGGGTGTTGGGAATCAAACCCAGGGCATGTATCAAGCAATCCAGCCAGCTCTTAGCTAGAGCCCAGCATATCTGCGGTGCCTTTAATGCACAAAGCTGATTCCTCAGTTTCCTCCCCTTGGCTGCTAGGTCCCCATGTCACTGAGTCTCGTTGGTCTGGAGTGCTCTTCACAGTCTCCCATCACCCAGTGGTGGCGTGTCAAGATGGAGGACTGGAAAAACTGAAAACATAAGAACACTGCTTCCCTGAAGCTTTAGTTTGTCCCAGGCTTTGCACATATTCCTGTAGCTGCTATAGGTCTTTACCACTTACACTACTTGTGTTCTGTCTGCATACCAGAAAAGGGAACCAGATTTCAATAGAAATGGTTGTGAGCCACCGTGGTGGTTGCTGGGAATTGAACTCAGGTCATCTGGAAGAACAGTCAGTGCTCTTAACCTCTGAGCCATCTCTCCAGCCCCTTGATTCTTGACATAAATAATTCACCTCAGTGGCTGACTATGAAAAACAAGCAGGGCACAGTGATGTACACTGTAACCCAGTACTCAGAGGCATCTCTGATCTCTGCGTTCAAGGCTAGCCTGCTTTAAAATACATCCGTCCCATCCCGTGTGTCTCCCGGGCCTGCTTTCTAATGAGGTTTTGTTTTTTGTTTCTGTTCTGGGTTCTCTTAGATTCCTACTCCATAAGCTGAGAATTGTTTTAAAATAACAGGATATTGAAGTTTGCACGTGAGCAGTGAGGTCCAGAATGCTACGCTCTGACTCACCTGATGATCTCAGCGTACTCCTTGTCTTTTCCTTTACTGTCCCTCCATTTCCTGAACATCACTGAAGCATCCACGTTGGCTGGAGAAAAGGTGTTGGGCTCATTAAGCAGTGAGATTACACTTAACAGGATAGTCCTGGAAAGCAAAGAAAAGCCACTGTGAAAACCCTGTTCACAAAGTAGTTTTCAAAGAAATTACAGTCAAGTTTAAAGTTTTTCACCCTTAAAATATCTAATACAAATGAGAGGTTATATCTGAAGACTTATGAAAAGTGATGACACAGTTTTGTTCTGGGAGCTGCTGAGATGGCCCAGCCGGTAAAGGTGCTGCCACCAAGCCTGGAGACTCGACTGTGGTAGCCAGGATGAACACGACAGGAAGCGAATAACTATCCCAAGTTGTTCTCATACTTCTGCTTAGATGCCATACATAACATACATACATACATACATACACAGTAAATATGGTTTAAAAAAAATTTTTTTAGGGGTTGGAGTGATAGCTCAGAGGTTAGCAGCACTAGCTGCTCTTCCAGAGGTCCTGAGTTCAATTCCCAACAACACATGGCTCACTGCCATCTGTAATGAGATCTGATGCTCTCTTCTGCCCTGCAGGTGAACACGCAGGGAGAATGCTATTAGCATTAATATATATAAATATCTTATTAGGATTACCACCAGAAGTCATTTACCCCGGCTGCTAGAACTCCAGGTGGGCCGCCTGCAAGTGTACCTACCCAACTCTCAGTGCCCCCAATCTATCCCCAACACCCCCACTTCTCATCACCTTGACCCAGCCCCCAATACAAGCAGAGACTCCCTCCTGGATCACAGGCCTTGCAGACGACCACCAGAACTCCAGCCCCAAACTCAAGAGGTGCCCTGCTCAATAAGAGAATGGTCACCAGAAGTACAGCCCCCAACTCAGGTGAAGACCCCCTGCTCAACCACAGGCCAGAAGACCAGAGAGGAAACTCTTGAGGAGGCACTTAGACCTGTATCACCACAAATGCAACAGCCTGGAGGCCAGTGTAACAGCACAGTAACAGCCAGGTCCAGCTATCTTACCACAGCAAGCCCGACTATTCCAACACAGCTGGAGCACATGAAAACATCCTTAAAGCCAACTTTATGTAGGTGACCGAGGGCTTCAGGGAGGAAATTAATAAACTAAAGAAATCAAGGAAGAGACTAACAAAAGGTTGAAGGAAATAAAAGAAGGCCAAAAAGACCAAAAGTTGTAGGAGACAAAACTGTCCAAGACCTGAAAGTGGAAATAGAAGCAATAGAGAAAATACAAACTGGAGGAATTCTGGAAGGAAAACTTTAGGTAAGTAAAGAGGAACTACAGAGGCCAGCTTCACCAGCAGAATACAAGAGATGAGACTCTCAGGCATTGAAGACAGCATAGAAGAAATAGATACATTAGTAAAAGTGAATGTTAAATCTAAAAAAATTCTTGACATAAAACATTTAGGAAATATGGGACACTGTGAAAAGACCAAACCTAAGAAACCCAGCTCAATGGCCCAGAAAATATTTCACCAAGATCATATAAGAAAATGTTCCTAACTAAAGAAGGAGATGCCTATAAAGGCACAAGAAGCTTACAGAACACCAAATAGACTGGACAAGAAAAGAAAGTCCCCTCGCCACATAACCAAACCACTAAATACACATAACAAACAAAGAATATCAAAAGTTATAAGGGAAAAAGACCAAGTAACATAGAAAGGCATACCTGAATTACATCTGCCTTCTCAAAGGAAACTCTAAAAGTCAGAAAGGCCTGGACAGATGTGCTGCAGACTCTTTTAAGAGACCACACAGCAAACTTTCAATCACCAAAGATGGAGAAAACAAGATATTCCATGAAAAAGTCAAATTTAAACAATATTCACAAATCCAACCCTTCAGAAGGCCCTAGAAGGAAAACTCTAACCTAAGGAGGTTAACTATATCTACGAAATCATAGGAAATAACCTCCCACCAGCAAAACCAAAAGAAACACACACACACTATACACACCACCACCACCAACAACAACAACAACAACAAAATAACAGTAATTAACAATCATTGGTCATTGCTATCAATACACTCAATTCCCCAGTAAAGAGAAACAGACTAACAGAATGGATTGAAAACAGAATCCATCCTTCTCCTATGCCCAAGAAACATACCTTAGCATCAAATATAGAAGAAAGGTTTGGAAAAAGGTTTTCCAATTAAATGAAAGCTAACCAAAAAAAATCAAGAGATAGGGGAGCTCCCAGCACTCTAGAGGCAGAAGCAGGCGGATCTCTGTGAGTTCAAGGCCAGCCTGGTCTACAAGAGCTAGTTCCAGGACAGTCTCCAAAGCTACAGAGAAATTTTGTTTCAAAAGAGAGAAAGGGGGCTGGAAAGATGGCTCAGCGGTTAAAAGCATTGCCTGCTCTTCCAAAGGTTATGAGTTCAATTCCCGGCAACCACATGGTGGGTCACAACCATCTGTAACGAGGTCTGCTGCCCTCTTCTGGTTTGCACACACAGACAGAATATTGTATACATACATACATAAATAAATAAATAAATATTTTTAAAAAGAGAGAGAGAAAGGGGAAGGAGGGGAGGGGGAAGGGAGGGAGGGAGGGAGGGAGAGAGGGAGGGAGGGAGGGAGGGAGAGAGGGAAATCTTACACTCACCAAAGGAAAAATCCCTCAGAATGATCTTTCAATTCTTAATGTCTACCCCAAATGCAAGAACACCCACTGCTGTAGAATATTTAACTATGTAAAGATGTGTTACATTTGTTTTTGTTGCATTTGTTTAATTATGAAAAGATGTGCCGGGCGGTGGTGGCACACGCCTTTAATCCCAGCACTCGGGAAGCAGAGGCAGGCGGATCTCTGTGAGTTCGAGGCCAGCCTGGTCTACAAGAACTAGTTCCAGGACAGGCACCAAAGCTACAGAGAAACCCTGTCTCAAAAAAAAAAAAAAGATGTGTGTCTATGTCACCTTGCCTGCCTAAAGCATCTGATTGGTTTAATAAAGAGCTGAATGGCCAATAGCTAGGGTTAGAGGCGAGGCTGGCAGAGAGAGAAAAATAAAAGAAACCTAGGAAAGATAGGAAGGAGGAGAGAAAGAGGGAGATGTCCAGGACCGACCAGCCAGCCAGCCAGTCAGAGACAACAGAAAAAGAAGATAAACAGATGGGGGGGGAAAAGGTAAAAAGCCCTGAGGCAAAGAGTAAATAATGAAAAGAAGGTTAATTTAAGTCCAAAGAGCTAGCCGAGAATGAGCCTAAGTTAGGCCAAGCATTCATAACTCCATAGTCTCCATGTCATGATTTGGGAGCTGGTTGGTGGCACAAAAGAAAACGCCTGGTATAAACCACGTTTATAAAAGAAACAGTGCTACAGCTTACATCACAAGCTGATCGTCACACACTAATGTGGGAGACTTCAAAACCCACTCTTGCCAATAGACAGGTCATCCAGCCAGAAACTAAGCAGAGAAACACTGGAGCTAACTGGCTATACATCAAATGAACCTAACAGACATCTACAGAACATTTCGCCCAAACACAAAGGAACACACCTTCTTCCTAGCATCTCATGAACCTCTTCCAAAACTGACCACATACCTGCTCACAAAGCAAGTCTCAACAGAGACAAGAAACTGAAATAACTCCCTTACCTATCAGACTACCATGCATTAAAGCTGGATTTCAACAACAGCAGAAAGCCTACAAACTCACGGAAACTGAACAACTCTACTGAATGAAAACTAAGTTAAGGCAAAGAAATTAAAGACTTATTAGAGGGCTGGAGAGATGGCTCAGTGGTTAAGAGCATTGCCTGCTCTTCCAAAGGTCCTGAGTTCAATTCCCAGCAACCACATGGTGGCTCACAACCATCTGTAATGAGGTCTGGTACCCTCTTCTGGCCAGCAGACATACACACAGACAGAATATTGTATACAGGGCTGGAGAGATGGCTCAGAGGTTAAGAGCACTCACTGCTCTTCCAGAGGTCCTGAGTTCAATTCCCAGCAACCACATGGTGGCTCACAACCATCTGTACTGAGATCTGGTGCCCTCTTCTGGCATGCGGGCATACATGGAGGCAGAATGTTGTATACATAATAAAGAAATAAATCTTAAAAAAAAAAGAATATTGTATACATAATAAATAAATAAATATTTAAAAAAAAAGACTTATTAGAATTCAATGAAAATGAATGCACAACATAACCAAACTTACGGGACACAATGAAAGCAGTGCTAAGAGGTTTAAAGTTCATAGCACTAAGTGCCGATATAAAGAATTTGGAGAACTCTCTCACTAGCAATTTAACAGCACACCTGAAAGCTCTAGCGCAAAAAGAAGTAAGCTCATCCAGGAGGAGGAGCTAGCAGGAAATAATCAAACTGAGAGCTGAAATCAATAATATAGAAACAAAGAACAATACAAAGACTCAAAGAAACAAAGAGTTGGTTCTTTGCGAAAATCATTAAGATAGACAAACCCTTATCCAAATTAACTAAAAAACTGAGAGGGAATATTCAAATTAACAAAATCAGAAACATGGGGGGGGGCTTACAACAGACACTGAGGAAATCCAAAAAAAAAATAATTAGGTCATACTTTAAAAACCTGTACTCCACAAAATTGGAAATTTTAAAATTAATGGATAATTTTCTCAATAGATCCCACTTACCTAAGCATCACAATCAGATAAACAGATCTATAACCCTAAGGAATAAATGCAGTCATTAAATGTCTCCCAACTAAAAGTGCAGAATTCTACAAGACTGTCAAAGAGGAACTAATACTAATACTCCTCAAATTATTCCACAAAATAGAAATAAAAGGAACATTGCCAAATTAATTTATGAGGCAATAGTTACCCTGACTCTCAAACTACACAAACATTTAACAAAGAAGAATTACAAATCAATCTCCCTTATGAACATAAATGCAAAAATGCTCAATAAAATAATCGCAATCCACCCCCCAAAGGTTGGGCACTGGTGGCACACACCTTTAATCCCAGCACTTAGAAGGTAGAAGCAAGCGATCTCGTGAGTTGGAGACCAACCTGGTCTATAGAGCGAGTTCCAAGAACAACCAAAGAAATCCTTTTCTCAAAAAACAAAACAATAAAAAGCCTCACAAACCAAATCCAAGAACACATCAAAAAGATCATCCATCACGACCAAGTTGGCTTCATCCTAGAGATGCAGAAACAATTCAACATTAAAAAAAAAAAAATCAGTCAATGTAATCCACCATATAAACAAACTGAAAGGGGAAAAAAATAGTACTTCAATTCTTAGCTAGAGCAATAAGACAACTGAAGGAGATCAAGGGAATACAAATTGGAAAGGAAGAAATCAAAGGATCATTATTTGCAGGTGATATGACAGTCTATATAAGTGACCCCAAAAATTCTACACCTGATTACTTTCAGTGAAGTGGCTGGATACAGAATAACTCACAAAACTCAACAGCCCTCCTATATAGAAATGATAGACTGAGAAATACATCGGGGCACAATACCCTTCACATCAAATAATATAAAATATCTTGAGGTAACACTAACCAAAGAAGTGAAAGATTTGTATGATAAGAACGTCAAGTCATTGAAGAAAGAAACTGGAAAAGATATCAGAAGATGGAAAGATATCCCATGCTCATGGATCAGTAGGGTCAATATAATAAAATATGTATAATAAAAATGGCCTTCCTACCAAAAGCATTCCAACACAATTCTTTACAGACCTTGAAAGGACAAACTCTATGGAAAAACTGAAATCCCAGGATAGCCAAAACAACCGTGACAAGGAAAAGAACTACTAGACCATGCAGTGGTGGTACCTGCCTTTAATACCAGCACGCTTAACAACGGAAAATGCACCAACATAATACCCTGTGTGGGTGAGCAGAAAATCACAGAAAGATAAAAATAGGAAAATCGTGTGTTAAGGAAAGCCTATTTCATCTGTAGGCAAAACAGGAAAAGGACAAAGTCTGTTACAAAATGGGTAGGGAAAATGCATGCATGTGCACACACACACAAACACACACTCTCTCTCTCTCTCTCTCTCTCTCTCTCCCCTCCTCCTCCCTCTCCTCTCTCTCTCTCTCTCTCTCTCTCTCTCTCTCTCAATGCATGCAAACTAGCTTCTTGTGACAGTTTGCAGATCTCAGAACACCTGGCCATGGTGTTACAGACTTTGTTTTTCGAGACAGGTCTTCTCTGTGAGACAGTCTTGGTTGTCCTGGAACTCGGGAGGCAGAGGCAGGCAGATCTCTGTGAGTTCAAGGCCAGCTTGGTCTACAAGAGCTAGTTCCAGGAGAGGCACCAAAGCTACAGAGAAACCTTGTCTCAAAAAACAAAATAAAAAAACCAAAAAAAACAAAAACGAAGACAATTTTGTGGAGTCAGTTCTCTCCTTCCACCTTTTTGTGGGCTCTGGGGGTGAAACTTGGATTGCCAGGCTTACAAGGAAGTACCTTTACTCACCAAGGTAAGCACTAAGCACATCGAGCAGCTGAAAGGAAAAGGCAACGGGATCAGGAGTTCAAAGTCAACCAGAGCTACATAGCAAGTTCCTAGCCAGACTGAACCAACTACGTAAGACCCTGTCTTTCAAATAGAAGCAATTTTAAATATAAAAGATATCTTTACTTGCAAAAAAAGCAAAAATTAATGGCAATTTTCACTGGGACTCAATACACAAAAATCAAGGGGACAAATAAAATCTCTCTGGCCACGAGTAAGGTTTAAAAGAATTCCAGGACAAGTGAGACTACAACTTCCCCCTTAGCTGTGCCTATTCTGCCCACATATGCTTTGTAGCAGAACTTGGCTCTTTGCCCTTCCAGTGGGTTGTAGAAAAGACTAAACAAGAAACTCTGTATGCATCTGTGACTGCTGGATTAGGCCCATCCATTTGGCTCCACCTAAGACCACTTTCTTGCCCTACAGGAAACAGGGGAGATAACAAGTAGTTCTGGAGATGTATCTCAGAGAAAGGAGCTGTGAAATGTAAGCAGGCTGTGACAAACTTCCTGGTCTCACCTTGGTTATGGCCAAAACAAGAACTAGGGGAGGTTGTTTCTATTAACTAGAGACATAAGGACCACTCAACATCACTGTGCTCCCTGGTGTCTGGACTTCCTCCAGAACCCATCAGGCTTTAGTGGATAACTGGTCTCTTTCTTTTATTGCTCTAGCCAATACTTACAACTGTACAGGCTGAGCTCTTAAAGAAGGTTTTATATTCTGTAGGTCACAAAGACCCTTCCAAATAACTCTACCTTATGAATATGCCCACTTACAAGCTGAAGAGCACAGAAAACCCCAACCCATGAGAATATGTTGCCAGTGCCAGGCAACAGCTGTGACTGATGACAGATAAACCAGACACCTCATGCTAGTTCCACTGCAGTCCTGCTACAGTGACCCTAAAGCTAAACTCAGACATCAATCCTCTGAGCCAGACAAGCTACTCAACACTGACGAATTGGCTGCAAAGTGGTGCGAAAGAAAGGATTGCCCTACCTGCCCTGTGTCTCTTGAGTCAGTATTTCAGTGGATCAGTGTGCTGAGCCTTTGGGAGGCAGAGACAGATGGTGCAAATGAAGGCAAACCTGGTCTACAGGGTAAGCTCCAAGACAACCAGAACTACACAGTGAGACATGATAGTATCGTAAGTAACCCTCAAACAGACTGGCAATTTACTATCTACCTTTAGAACCTCCTTAAACAAGTTAGATGTGGTGCATGCTTGTTGTAACAGCAGGACTCGGGAGATGGTGGCAGGAAGATTACAAAATTGAGGTCAGCTAGGCTACACAGTAAAACCTTGTTTAAAAAAACAAAAAACTTTATCTCTATAAGTAACAGAAACAAAAAAGACAAGTAAAAATATTCCCAAAGACAACCAACGAAAGTCTTCTTGAATGATCCCGAGAGATTTCCCCCTCGGAGAAGAACTGCTGCTGAAGGAATACACTACAGCTACATGGAGCAGAGATACTAGGTAGCCAGTTCCAAAGCAGATGACATAGACTGAGCTTGCCTACATAACTCAGAGACGGCTCTCTCCTGAGACAGGATCTTGCTGCGCAGTCCTCTAATCTAACTCATTATGAGCTTAACTGGCTGAGACAATGCTCAGGGTGAGGTCCTAGAGAGGTAGAATTTGCACTAAGCATAGGATTGATGCAAAGTACGAAGCAACTTTCATAAGTATGAGTTCTATCCACTGAGAGGCAAAGTCTAGGATTAAGGCCTAAACAATTCTCAGGATTTGGGGGAATTTGCAGCTAACAAAGGATCATCAGGGTGTGTTGCCATGCCACGCCAGCACTCCAAGTAACCAGGCATCATTCGCCCTTTCTTTGAAGAAAGCAGGCCTGCACGTGCATGCCCTCTTCTGGCATACAGGCATACATGCAGACAGAACACTGTATACATAATAAATAAAAAAGATAGCTCCTAGGCCGGGCGATGGTGGCGCATGCCTTTAATCCCAGCACTCGGGAGGCAAAGGCAGGTGAATCTCTGTGAGTTTGAGGTCAGCCTGGTCTACAAGAGTGAGTTCCAGGACAGACTCCAAAGACACACAGAGAAACCGTGTCTCAAAAAACAAAAACAAAACAAAACAAAACCCCTCAACCAGATACCTGATGGAGGGAAATGAGAAAGAATCCCAAGCACCTCAGGAAGCTAGTCAACCGAGAACTGCCCACATTCCAGAAGCAACCCGTACCCCACCTTCAACCATCATCACTAAAGACCACTGTGACCACTGTCACCAGTGTTGCCTATGTCCCTTTAGGATGCTCCAGACCTCCCCTACCCTGTGTCATCCTTGCCCCAGCTCAGAACTAGCCTCTCGCCCACCCCCCAGCAAATATCTGATTTCTGCAGCATTCTTGGCCTCCGATCACCACAATGCCCCTTTGAACCTTTGGTGCTCTAACCAGAGAGGAGCTATCAAACCCAGGAGGGAGTTCTTTCACAGCTTCACACAGAGTGAGACACCAACATACGACTCAAGTAGCAAGTGTCTGCAGTCTGGTGTGTTTGGGAGGCTGACATAAAGGGTTTACTTGAGCCCAGGAATTTGAGGTCAATCTTAGCAACATAGTAAGAATGTCTCAAAAATAGTTGGGCAGTAGTGGTGCATGCCTTTAATCCCAGCACCCGGGGCAGACATAGGTCTCTTGAGTTCAAAGCCAGCCTGGTTTACAAACGGAGTTCCAGGAGCCAGGGCTTTCACAGAGTAATCCTGTCTCAAAAAAACAATAAAATTAGAAAGCAGTGAACAAAGCTCGGCAAGTATCATCTCTTCTAACACCTTACCTCACATTCTGAGTGGGATTCCACCTTTCAGAGGGCAGTTCTCCACTTTGTGGGTCATCTACAGGCGGATGAAGAATTGAAATGCATACATCTCCATTCTACAAAACAACAATACGACATTCAGTAAATACGTAAAAAACCGATGTAAGCAAGGTGCAGTAACACACACCTGCAACCCCAGTACTCAGGATCTCAATTACAAGGCTAGTCAAACCTAGTCCGTGTACACACAGACACACACACACACACACACACACACACACACACACACACACACACACCTGTGATAAAGGCCAGGCATGATGGTACATGCCTTTAATCCCAGTACTTGATAGGTAGAGGCAGGCAAATCTATGCGTTTGAAGTTAGCCTGGTCTACATAGCAAATTCCAAACCAGCTAGTGCTACACAGCAAGAAGCTGTCTTTAATAACACAAACAAAAACAACAACAACAAAAAAAACCCCACCAAAACATGCGACGAATAAGGCACATAATTTTTTTGCTAAAAAGTTCGTTTCTTTTTATTATGGGAAAACCAGTTCTCCATGTTGAAGTTGAAGAGAACTAAATAGGATAAACATTCACCAGGACCATGTTCGGTGGCACATGCCTATAATAATCACAACACTCAATGAGGTAAGAAGCAAGAGGATCACTCCAAGTTTGAGGCAGCCTGATCTACATACTTGTCAAGTTCCAGGTCATCCAGGGCTGTGTAGCAGGGCTGACCTTGAACTCAGAGATCCACCTACCTCTGCCTCCAGAGTACTGGGGTCAATGGTGAGTGCCAAATCATTTGTTTTTTCAAGAATCAAAACTGGGAGATAAACTGTTGGAGAGCTGGTTGAGAGGATTGGAGCACCGCCCCGCAGAGCCCGAGGTCGCCCGTTCGAGTCCCAGGTAAGGTAAGTCTGTACTGTGTGTTGTGTTGGAATGTGTCTGTGTCTCTGTGTATGACTGTCTCTGTCTCTGTGCTGTCTGTGTGCTGTGTGAATGACGTCTGTATGCATAATTAATTTGAAAAAAACCCTGGGAGATAACAGTTAAAAACCTTTTTGAATTTAGCTGGGTGGTGGTGGTGCACACCGTTAATGCCAGCACTTGGAAGGCAGAGGCAAGTGGATCTCTGTGAGTTCGAGGCCATCCTAGTCTACAGAGCACATGCTAGGACAGCTAGGGCTGTTGCACAGAGAAACCCCGTCTCTTAAAAAAAAATTAACTTAGCTGTGTATTATAATGTGCAAAATTGCTATGTTCGTCATCAAAAAGAGTCAGGGAAGGGAGGCAGGTGCTGACGCAGAGGCCATGGAAGGGTGCTGCTTACTGGTTTGCTTCCCGCAGCTTGCTCAGCCTGCTTTCTTATGGAACACCAGTCCAGGGAAGGCACCACACACAATTAAGAAAAGCCCTACAAGGTTCCCTACAAACCAATCTTCTGGTGACATTTTCTCAATTGAGGCTTCCTAGCTTGTATTAATCCTAACATACAACTGGCCCACATGGTGTATGTGGTGCATGTACACAGGAGTGCAAGTGCCTAAGGAAACCTATCCCACCAGAGTCTAGAGTTACAGGGTCATGAGCAGCCTGACTTAGGAACTGAACTTGAGTCCTCTGACAAAGCAGTATGTGTTCTTAGCCACTAAGCCAAGCTCTCCAGACCCACCTTTAAAGAATTATTTAATTAAAAAAAAAATGCTTTTCTTTTTTTGTTTTTCAAGACAAAGTTTCTCTGTGTAACCCTGCTTGTCCTGGAACTCGCTCTGTAGACCAGGCTGGCCTCAAAATCCACCTGCCTCTGCCTTCTGAGTGCTGGGATTAAAGGTGTGCACCACCCCTGCTCAGCTTAAATAAAATTTTAATATGATTTTTGTTTTTATTTCCAGCACCTTTTTTTTTTTTTTTTTGGATTTTTCGAGACAGGGTTTCTCCGTAGCTTTTGGTTCCTGTCCTGGATCTAGCTCTTGTAGACCAGGTTGGCCTCGAACTCACAGAGATCCGCCTGCCTCCGCCTCCCGAGTGCTGGGATTAAAGGCGTGCGCCACCACCGCCCGGCTCCAGCACCTTTTTTAAAAAAAAGATTTGCTTATTTTTATGTGACTGGTGTTCTGCCTGCATGCGTGTCTGGGTGAGAGTGCTGGATTCCCGGAACTGGAGTTACAGGCAGTTATGAGCGGCCACATGGTTGTTGGGAATTGAACCAAGGTTCTCTATAAGAGCAGACATAAGGGCTCTTAACCCCTAAGCCATCTCTCTAGACCCCTCCAAAACATTTTTTTTTTTTTTTGATTTTCGAGACAGGGTTTCTCCGTAGCTTTTTGGTTTCTATCCTGAAACTAGCTCTTCTAGACCAGGCTGGCCTCGAACTCACAGAGGTCCGCCTGCCTCTGCCTCCTGAGTGCTGGCATTAAAGGTGTGCGCCACCATCACCCGGCTCTCCAAAACATTTTTAAAGAATTTTAGGGGCTGGAGGAAGGTAAAGAGGCTATTTGCTCTCCAGAGGACCGAGGTGCAATTCCCAGCACCCATATGGCAGTTCACAACCATATGTAACTCCAGTTCCATGGACTCTTAAGACCTTCTCCCGGCCTCCTCAGGTACCAGGCATGCACATGAGACATAGAGATACCCATGTAGGCAAAATACCATACATACTTTTATTTTGTTTATTTTTTGAGTCAGGGTTTCTTTGTGTAGCCCTAGCTGTCCTGGAACTCACTCTGTAAACCAGGCTGGCCTCAAAAAAACTCAGAGAGCAGCCTGTCTCTACCTCCAAAGTGTTAAGATTAAAGGCGTAAAAGTATCAAATAGTATATTCTAAAGCTAAATTACAATTGGATATCAAAGAAAGGTAGACGATAGAACACAGTAAGAAAGAATGTATATGTAGAATATGAAAAAAGACAAGAGGCTTTGTGGTTGTGAAAGCTTTTACACAGACCTCTAATACTGAGTAAATTTCATAAATTTTGACGTGTCTGTCTAGAAAAATAAATCCACATCATAAGCATTAGAACAGGAGCTGGGGAAATGGCTTAGTTGGCAGTGTTTGTTCCACAAGCATAAGGACCTGAATTGAACCCCAGCACCACATAAAGAGATGGGAACAGTGGAGTGCGCTCATAATCTCAGCAGAGATGCTGCCTTGGGCTACCTATGGGCTCCAGGTTCCAGAGTGAGATCTTGTATCAAAAGAAACAAAGGAAATGGCTCCTGAGGAACGACACCCAAGATTGATCACTGGCCTTGGTTTAATAACACATGCAATCACAAATACGTGCACCCATACACAACAAATAAATATGTAAAAAAATCAATACCTGATAAATATTCCTGGCTACTTCTTTCTGTTTTCTATTACTACTCTAAAAATCACCACAGCATGACAAAATAAGACCTGTTCACCAACATGGTGCCAAAAGCAAAAAAGGAAGCTCTTGCTCCTCCGCCCAAAGCTGCAGCCAAAGCAAAGGCCAAGAAGGCAGTGCTGAAAGGCACCCACAGCCACAAAAGGAAGACCCACACATCACCCACCTTCCGGCAGCCCAAGACCCTTGAAAAAGCGCACCCAGGAGAAACACTTTGATCGCTATGCCATCATACAATGCCCCGACCACTGAGTCAGCCATGAAGAAAACAGAAGAAAACACACTTTTGCTCGCTGTGGTTGTCATGGCCAGCAAGCTGCAGATCACACAGGCTGTGAAGCCATGACACTGATGTGGCCAAAGTCAACACCCACAGAAGGCCTGAGAGAAGGCGTACGTTCAGTTGGCTCCTGATTATGATGCTCCAGATGTTGCCAACAAAACTGGGATCAAACTAAGTCCAGCTGGCTAATTCTGACAGTTGAAGATCAGAGTGTTGGCATCCCCTTCCCTATACTAGAAACTACTCTTGGGCCAGAAAGAAGGCTCAGGGGAACTTAAAACTCTTCAACAAGGAAATGGAGACACCAAAATGGTTGAAAGAAAAAAGAATTCGAAGATCTAGTTTTTAAAAAGATCAATGATCCCAATGACTACTTAAATAAATAGCTGAAGACATTATTCAAAACTTGGATAAGCATTGTGACCTTAGAACTCATGCCCTGCCCACCTTCTGTGCTCCTTTACATCCCTCAACTCCCATTTGAGAAGCTCCTATTTGCAGTAGATGGTGATTACCACAGAAAACCACAGCTGGCTAAGGTGCAGAAAATAAGACACTACGAAATGCTCACCCCTAAAGGAAACACATACCTCCCCACCAGCACCCTCAGACATGAAAGTAAAAAGAAAGTAGGAAGTGGCAGAGCCAGAGCTGGGTAACTACAACGACACAGCAGAGAAGCTGCACACGTCAGCTTCAGCAGATCAGAGCACTGGCTGCTCTTTCCAAGAATGAGGGTTCAATTCCCAGCACCACTCACACGGTAGCTAACAACTCTCTGTAACTCCAAGATCTGACCTTCACACAAGACATACATTCAGGCAAAATACCAATGCACAAAAAATAAAGTTAAAAAAAAATTCACTGGGGCTGGAGAGATGGCTCAGTGGTTAAGAGCATTTCCTGCTCTTTCAAAGGTCCTGAGTTCAATTCCCAGTAACCACATGGTGGCTCACGACCATCTATAATGGGGTCTGGTGCCCTCTTCTGGCCAGCAGGCATACACACAGACAGAATATTGTATACATAATAAATAAATATTTTTTAAAAAAATTTCACTAAAACATCACAAATGAAGTGACCTAGGCAGAAAGTTAACATCAGGGACTAAAGACAAGATTGAGAAATTAGTACGTTCAGTTATCAACTAAAACAAACAAACAAACAACAAAAACAAAACAAAAAAAGACTTCGGGAAATCACTAACAGACTAAATCTAAGAGTCCCTAGTATGCAGGAGGCAACTGAGACAGACTAGAAGTCCACAAAGTCTTTCCCAGGGAATAACATACCAGTGAATTGTCATCCCATAACAAATGGTCTGCCCTGAAAACATATACACAAGTAACATTATAGAGACTGAGCCAGTTGGATTTACATATGTAGGGATATATGTGTATATATACATACTTATATGCACATATCAACAACTAATGAAAAAAGATGTCATGAAATTGAAAGAACAAGGAGAGGCATATGGGGGGTGGGGAGGGAGAAGACAATGGGGAAATATAACTATGTTATATATAATCTCACACACTTTTAAAAATCTATAATACAACTAATTTTGGGTGGGGGGGAAGAGGGTATCACTATGTAGCCCTAGGTGTACTAAAGCTTGCTATGTAGAACAGGCTGTCCTCAAACTTGCATATATCTGCCTGCCTCTGCCTACTAAGTATTGGGATTAAAGCCATGATCTACCACACCCAGCAAGCAAATATCTAATAATAATAATAATAATAATAATAATAGGGAGATATGGCTTCTTCATAGGACCCAAGTTCAGTTCCAGGCACCCATAACAGGCAGCTCACAACCACTTGTAGCTCCAGTTCCAGCAGATCTGACATCCTCTTTCGTCTTCTTCAAGCACCTGCAAGAGCTCTCTCTCTCTCTCTCTCTCTCTCTCTCTCTCTCTCTCACACACACACACACACATTCTTTTAATTTTATTTTTATGTGTTTATCTGTGCACTATGCATGTGGTGCCCACAGAAGCCATAAGAGGACCTACCACCATTCCTAGGACTGGAGTTACAGGTGGTTGTGAGCTACCAGGTTGATGCTGGGAATTGAATCCAGGTCCTCTGGAAGAATAGCACATGCTCTTAATCGCTGAGCATCTCTCCAGACCCAGAAATAGACAGGCAGGCAGGCAGGCAGGCAGGCAGACACAGAGTGCTTGCTGGTAAAAAGCCTGTGGCTGAGGCAGTTCTGAGTTCTCATAAGGAAACTACTGTGCTGCCTTGTTAAGTGGACATGATACCTGCCAAGCTGCCTCCCAGGAAACCATGGTTCCGTCCCAAGACTAATGCTGCAGTGCTCTCTCCACAGCGGACAATGGCTCAGGAAGAGTCAAAGTGCAGACAGGAAGTGAGAAGTGACAGCTCAGTCCCACAGGACACCACAGGAGGCCAGCAAGGCTCTAGATTAGAGACCAGACACAACATGGCAGGTGCTCCCTTGAATTCACATGAGCTATGAATGCCTTCGTAATCCCTGCACAAGACTGCCAACATCCTGCCATGAAAGGGGAGGCAGTCACGAGGTCCCATCCTTCCTTAAGGAGGAAAAGACAGTTTCTTATTTTTTATTTATTTATTTTTAAACATTTATTTATTTATTATGTATACAATATTCTGTCTGTGTGCATGCTTGCAGGCCAGAAGAGGGCACCAAACCTCATTACAGATGGTTGTGAGCTACCATGTGGTTGCTGGGAATTGAACTCAGGACCTTTGGAAGAGCAGGCAATGCTCTTAACCTCTGAGCCATCTCTCCAGCCTCAAAAGACAGTTTCTTGAATGGTAAAGCCAACCATAAGATGCCCAGACTCATGTCAGCAACCACATGAACTCATTGACTACAAAAGGTAATAAAGTAGAAAGAGGACCAGTTGGGAAGAAAAACAGAATTAATGAGAATGGAAGTGGGGCAAAAGGGAGTAATGAAAAGGAATATAAATCAAAATTATATGCATGTATAAAAATATCATAATAAAACCCATTATAGTTAATAAATACTACTTTTTTTTTTTTTTGAGACAGGGTCTCTTGATCCTAAAACTCAAAGATCTAACACTCCCGCGCTTTTCCTTGGTTTTTAGAGACAGGATTTCTGTGTAGCCCTGGCTGTCCTGGAACTTGCTCTGGCCTCAAACTCAAATACCCACCTGTCTCTGCCTCCAAAGTGCTGGGGTTAAAGTCATGTGCCACAGCTGTAAATAAATAAATATTTCTCTCTCTGTCTCTCTCTCTCTTTTTAGTTTTTCAAGACATGATTTCTCTGTGTAGCCTTGGCTGTCCTGGAACTGACTCTGTAGACCAGATTTGCCTCAAACTCAAGAGAGAGCCACCTGCCTCTGCCTCCTGAGTACTGGGATTAAAGGTGTGTGCTGCCACTGCCCAGTTCCAGATCTACTGTTCTACAGGCAAAACCTTATCCCTTAAACTTTTTTTAGATGAATTTAACTTACTAAATTAAACTTTTCTGTTGCTTTTTGAGATGGGGGTCTTGTCATGTAGCCTTGGTTAGCCTAGAGTTCTATATATACTAGGATGACCTTGAAAGTGAGAGCCACCTGTCTCTGCCTTTAAAGGCCTGTCATCATGGCTGACTAAATCAAGTTTTTATATGAATAACTGGTTTGGGCATGATGGCATACATCTACAATCCCAACACTTGGAAGGTAGAATTAGGTTCATGGCTAGCCTAGTTTGCATAGTGAGATACAGATCTGTCTGCCAAGGCTATAAAGAATAAAACTGGCCAGCCTGGTCTACAAGAGCTACCTCCAGGGTAGGCTCCAAAAAAGAAAGAAAAAAAAAAAAGGAAAAAGAAAAAAAGATAGAAAAAACCCACACAGCTTAGTTGTCTGCCACAGTCTGTAGTCACTACCAGCTGGCTTTCTGATTTAATGTCTTATATATTCTGAACCTTTAATATAAATGGAATCATACAATATACAACCGTTTTCTGATGTTTCAGAGTTCCCTCTGCCCTCCATGGATGCAGTGAGCGTGTGTCCACAGCGCTGCTCTCCACACTGTGAGCTTCTTCTCCCTTGTTAGACACGAGGCCTTTTTCCTAATAGCACACGTACCACTGTGCATTAGTCAAGTCTCACTCCGTGTCTCATTTGGACTGAGCTCATTCGTTGTCAGGGTCTCTTTTTATTCTCCGAGCCATGGCTGCCTAGTCTGGCCTCAAACCCCTGGGCTTTGGCAATCCTCCTGCTCGGCCTCCTAACACACACTTGTGGCTAACTTTGCCTACTTTTCAATTAGGTTAATCCTTTTAAAATCCTGTGGGTTTTTTTTTTTTAATTCTTTAAAGAACTTTACAGACCAAGCTGGCTTCAAATGCAAGAATCCTCCTGCCTCTGACTTTTGAGTATAGTTCTGAGCAAGTTTTCAACAATTTTTTATGAGGTAGAAATACAGTATCTTTTTCTCTTTTTTTCCTGAGACAGGGTCCTTGCTGTCCTGAAACTCACTTTGTAGACAAAATTGGCCTCAAACTCACTGAGATCCACCTGCCTCTGTCTCCCAAGTGCTGGCATTAAAGGTGTGTACCACCACTGCCTGGCCAATATCATTTTTTTTTTTTGTTTTGTTTTTCGAGACAGGGTTTCTCTGTAGCTTTGGAGCCTGTCCTGGAACTAGCTCTTGTAGACCAGGCTGGCCTTGTGCTGGGATTACAGGCGTGCGCCACCACCACCCGGCCCAATATCATTTTTTTTGTTTGTGGAAATCCAACTATTAAAAAAAAAAGAAATCCAACTATTAATGAGACCGTTACTTCCCACTTGTGCTAATTTTTATGTCAACTTCACAGACTAGGATCATTTGGGAAGTGGGAACCTTAATTGAGAAAATGCCTCTATTGAATTATCTGTGGACAAATACTTGGGACATTTCTTAACCACTGATTGAAGAGGATGTGCAGTGGTCCTGAGCTGTATACGAGAGCAGGCTGAGCAAGTCATGAGGAGTAAGCCAGAAGGCAGACAGACTTTCTCCACAGACTCTGCCGTCAGTTCCTGCCTCTGCTTTCTTCATTCGACAGTGATCTACAATATGAAAGCCAAATAAACCTTTTCCTCCTGAGGTTGGAGGCAACTTCATCACCACAAGAGAAATCATAGCAAAGATGATGCTCAATGAGATTGGTGTCATTTTTTGTCAAAATCTATTAATTATAAATGGGCATCACAGTTCCTGCCTAAAGTCCCAATACTTAGGAACCTGAAGAAGAAAGATGACGTGTTAGAGGCTAATCTGGACTACATGGCAAGATCTTATCTCAAAATAAATATACTGGTGATTATAGATGTTCTGGATTATTCTGAGGTTCTCAATTCTTCACCATGGTAGCACTAAACTCTCTTGGTGACAATAATTTCATACTATGTTTTAAATTCTTTTCAATTTTTGGAATTCTAGGTCTCTTATTATTTCTTTATAAATTTTATAATCATCTTGCTGATGTTTGGGGGGAGATTTTGATAGCAGAGTCAAGAGAGAAGAAACCATGGATCCTCTGCCTGAGACAGACACCAGTTACAATCTCCAGTAAGCCACTGCCATGTGGCAATACACAGATTAATGGAAATGGGTTAAACTAATATGTAAGAGTTAGCCAATAAGAAGTTAGAGCTAATGGCCAAGCAGTATTTTAATAAATACAATTTCTGTGTGATTATTTCGGGGCTAAGCTAGCTGGGCGGCCAGGACAAACAAGCAGGCCTCTCCATACAACAGAACCTCACCTTGGAGTTATTCCAAAAGAGGCTCTCAAATGCTCAGCAGTAACTCCTGAAAGGAGACCAGGCCAAATGTACTAGGATAAATCCCCCTGAAAAAGCTGAGTCTCTGCCCATAGCAACAGGTGACCCTTGCTGTAAAGTTAGAGGATAGGTACTTTACTAAATTTGTAAAACATGAATGTTAACGTGTGTGCATTATAATCTTAGCAACCAGCTGCAAAGGCTTAAATTTTCCATCTTTAACTGGAATAATCATTATATATTATAAAAGTACTCTTGATTTTAAATAATTAAACCAGAGAATACAAAATACAAAACATAAACATTTCTCTGTGGGTACAGTGAAACACAACTTACTGATACACATAGTCTATTTCAGGGTGGGCGGGGTGTGCTGTTGTGACTAAACTGAGATCTTGGGCATGCTAAGCAAATGCTTTACCAAGTTACACTCTCCAGCTCAAACTACTATTTTTGTGTGGTGTGATAATCAAACACAGGACCTTGATTGGTAAATCCCTAGTCTCTTTTTAAAGAACTAATCTGAAAAAATCCACAGAGAAAGTTATAACAGATACCTCTTACCTCATAAATGTTGGGGTGCCACATTTTGGTCAAGAATCTGAAGGTAGGTGGTGAATATGGGTAGTCAATAGGAAATTTAATATGTGCCTGCAAAAGAAAAAAAATAATGCTAATAAAATAAGACAAGTTGTTCATTTGTCTAATAGTTCCCACTATTATATCCCAAAGAAAGAGAGCTCCTTTCTACAGATCAGGTTCCCGAGAAGTCACAGCACCAGGGTTATCAGAATGTTCTTTCAGTAGATCATCAAATATTTGTGTCTTGGCTAAATGACCCAAATATTATCATTTTTATGAATAAAAATTCAGCTCACAGGAAAGAAAGATAAGAGATGTTCCAAACACTGAGGCTGCTGTCCCTGCATCCAGAGGTGCGCCCTATCACTAAATTAGTCCCCATTCTCCGCTACCACTATTTTTTAAAGATTTATTAATTTATTAATTATGTACTATAAGTAGTATTCTATCTGCACATATACCTGCAGGCCAGAAGAAGGCATCAGATCGCATGATAGATGGTTGTGAGCTACCATGTGGTTGCGGGGAATTGAACTCAGGACCTCTGGAAGAACAGCCAGTGCTCTTAACCTCTGAGCCATCCCTCTAGCCTGCTACCACTATTTTTGTGCCAAACAAAGCAATATGGTTTTCTAATAAATAAGAGAACAAATAATTTTTCCTTTTTATTGATATCATGTAAACAGTATCTCCTCACTCACCAACAACGTCTGACCTTTTTTTCCCCCCTCCTTTTCTTGGCTTTTCGAGACAGGATTTCTCTTGTAATAGTCCTGGCTATGCTGGAACTCACTTTGTAGACCAGGCTGGCCTCAAATTCACTGAGATCCGCCTGCCTCTGCCTCCCAAGTACTGGCATTAAAGGCGTGCGCTGTACCACCACTGCCTGGCTAACGTGCACACTTTGATGACATTTCCTTTCAGTGGTTCTTTATATATATATATATACACACACACACACACACACACACACACAAATGCTCTTTTCCTACTCCCTCCCAAAAAAAGCACTTGCTGTCAAGTCTCATGACTTGAGCTCAATTCCCAGGCTTCATAGTGCCATCTCTCATGCATTTCCTCAACACTAAATAAAGTTTTCAAAACTTACTTAAAATTATTTATTTCATTTTATTTGTACTGAATGTTTGTGTGCATGTATGTATATGTACCATATGTGTGCCAGGTGACTTCAGAGGTCAGAAGAGGGTGTGTGATCCCCTGAAGCTGGGGTTATGTGATTTACCCATCAAACTCTCACTAACCCTAACAAGCTAAGTTGTAGAATTCGGTTCTACATGGTAGAATTAAGTTACCCTCTGATATTCACACATGCATTGTGGCATGCATGCAAACACATACATAAGTAACTGTAAAAAAAATTATAACATACAATATGTAAAATAATAATTAAAATAATTATGTAATTCTGGAAGACATAAAAATACAGAGAGAAGGGGAGAGGAGCAGGTAATCATTTGAAATAATGATTTACTAAAGATTTTTAATTTTTTAAAATTAAAATTATTTTAATATTTATTATTAGGGGAGGAAACATGGCTCAGAGGTTAAGAGAATCCTTGGAAGAAGATCTGGGCTAAATTCCCAGCACCTACATGTCCATTACTCCAGTTTCAAGGGATCTGACTGTGTCTGCCTTTTGTGGGCACCAGAACCATGTGTGATGCACAGACATACATTTGAGAAAAACACTCATATACATAAAATTTTAAAACATTTTTAGGGATTTTTAGTTAAAGAGGGAGATGTGTATATGAATGCCTGTGTGTGCACGCACACACGTGTGTCTGTGTGTGAATGTGTGCATGTGGGGTCAGAGAGGGCATCAGGTCCCCTGAAACTGGCATTAAAGGTGGTTGTGAATGTCCAACTTGTGTGCTCAAAACTGCGAAGAGTTTTTGTTGCATCTTGGGCTCCATGTGGGGAGAGCATGGTTGAGCTGTGCCGCCAGGCCAGAATGAGCTATGTGCATCTGTCATCAAACAAGGAAGACTGGCAGGCCATGCTCGAGTTGTCAACATGCCAGGGCCTACAGTCATCATTGGAGTATAAATTCTAATTGGTCTTAATAATGAAAACTCAGAGTCAGCTATCAGGCTGTGAAAGCTGAAGGATCAGAGAAGCAGAGCAGCCAGCAACTAGTTTTTTACCTCTACCAATGCTCAGACCAAAGGGGTGGTGTGAGGAGGTCCTTCTGTGTGTGTGCTGCTTTTCCTGGTTAATGAATAATAAAGGTGCTTTCAGACAATGGTTTAACACAGTGTAGCCAGGTCAAAGAGACAGAGAAAAAAGCGAAGTCAGAGAGAAGCTATGGAGCTGCCAGAGGAAAAAGATGTGAGCCGCCAGTCAAAACCTTCCCGGTAGGCCAAGAACCTTGTGGTGAAATATAAAATAGTAAAAATGGGTTAATTCTAGATGCAAGAGCTAGCCAAAAAGAAGCTAGAGCTAATAGGCCAAGCAGTGATTTAATACAAAAACAAAAATACAAAAAAACTTCGCAAGAGCATCAGGTGCTCTTAACTACTGAGCCATCTCTCTAGCTTCTACTGAAGGTTTTTAATTAACTACTTTAAAACAGGACTATAGGAAGCTATGGCTAAAGGATTAATGGAGTCAACAAAATAGACACAGTTTTTGAGTGCTGGCCAGCCTGGAACATACAGTTGTGCCTTGTCTTGTACACATAAGATTAAAAGAAAAAAAGAAAGAGTTTAAAATCCTATAGGAAAGAAAATCATTAACCGTAGCAAACCATTTCCATCAAGGTAAGGGGAGACGGAGGTAGGAATGTGGTTTGAAAGAAAATGGTTCCTAAAGGGAGTGGCACTATTAGGAGGTGTGGACTTGCTGGAGGAAGTGTGTTATTATGAGGGTGGGCTTTGAGGTCTATTTTGCTCAAGCTTCCCTCAGTGTGACATTGAGTCCACATCCTGTTGCCTTTTGATCAAGATACAGCCAGAACCATGTCTGCCTGCATGTGCATGTTGCCATGCTCCCCGCCATGATGATAATGGACTGAACCTCTGAACTGTAAACCATCACCCTCAATTAAATATTTTCTTTATAAGAGTTTGGTGTAGGAGGTCCTTCCGTATTTGTGTTGCTTTCATTGGTTGAATAAAGAAACTGCCTTGGCCTTTTGATAGGGCAGAACTTAGATAGGTGGAATAGACAGAATTGGATGCTGGGAAGAAGGGCAGTGTGGCAGATGCCATGGTTCTCCTGCCTGAGATGGACGCTGGTTAGACTCATGCCGGTAAGCCACAATCAAGTGGCAATACACATTAATGGAGATGGATTAAACTAATATGTGAGAGTTAGCCAATAAGAGGCTAGAGATAATGGGCCAGGCAGTAATTTAATTAATACAATTTCTGTGTGATTATTTCGGGGGTTAAGCTAGCCAGGCGGCTGGGACGAAAAGCAGGCCCGCTCCTCCTGTAACAAGAGTTTCTGTAGTCAGGGTGTCTCTTTACAGCAATAGAAACCCTAACTAAAACAAGGAGGAACAATGAAAAGATAGGACAATGGAACAGAGGTTATGAGCTCTGACATAATTTATCACCCTATTATTTAAATCTCTAAACTTTTTTTAAAGATTTATTTATTCATTTGTTTATTTATTTATTATGTATACAGGGTTCTGCCTGCATGACAGAAGAGGGCACCAGATCTTATTATAGGTGGTGTGAGCCACCATGTGGTTGCTGGGAATTGAACTCAGGACCTCTAGAAGAGCAGTCAGCACTCTTAACCTCTAAGCCATCTCTCCAGCCCTCTTTTTTTTTCTATTTTAATAGACAGGGTCTCATTATAGTAGCCCTGGCTAGCCTGGGACTCAGAGATCTACCTGTCTCTGCCTTTCAAGTGCTGGAGTTAGAAGTGTGCACCAACATGCCTGGCTAAATATATATATAATATATATATATATATATATTATATATACTATTTTATAACTATATTTTATATAATATATTATAATATATATATGCACACATATATATACAAACATTAAATAAAAAAAAAAAACCTTTAGGTAAGGTGGCTCTTGCTTTTAATCCAGCACAGGGAAGTAGAGGCAAGTGGATCTCTGAGACAGAGGTAAGCTTGACCTACAGAGCTAGTACCAGAACAGCCAGGGCTACACAAAGAAACCTTGTTCAGAAACACCAAAATGAATGAATGAATGGCGTGAGTAAACAAAATACAATTAGGGACTGGAAAGATGACTCAGCAGCTGCTCTTCCAGAAAACCTAGGTTTATTAATATAAAAAAAAAAACTTATAAAGACAAAAAATGTGAAAATTTAAAATAAGAAAGTTTTCACTAAAAGAACAATCTAGGAAGCTCAACAGTTGTTATAGTTGAAGATTCAAAAACTAAGTAAAAGTCAAGCATGGTGGTGCACACCTTTAAACCCAGCACTCGAGACAGAGGCAGGCAAGTCTCTGTGAGTTTGAGGCCCCTGTCTCAGAAGGAGGAGGGAGATGAAAATAGATCACAGTAGTGCATGTAAGAAAGGGAAAACTCGAAGGGCACATCTTTGTGAGATGTGCAAGAGAGCTGGTGAGATAGCTGACTGCTTACTGACACTTGCCACCAAGTCTGACAATCTGAGGTCCATTCCAGGGACGCAAGGAGTATAGGAGAAAACCAATTCCTGCACGTTGTCCTCTGACCTCCACACAAGAGCCACAGCAAACACACATATTTATGCACATACAAAATAAATAAAAATGTAATAAAAAATTTCAATTCCATAAAGAAGGTGGGCATAGTAGTATTTCTGACACTAGAAGGCTGAGGCAAGAAAACCAAACATTTTTTTGGTTTGTTTTTTCTTTTTTTTTTTGAGACAAAGATAAAAATATACTGTAAGAGATGTCTCAAACAATACTGGAAGAAACACATGCTTTCAAAAGTCTGTAGAAGGGCTGGAGAGATGGCTCAGAGGTTAAGAGCATTGCCTGCTCTTCCAAAGGTCCTGAGTTCAATTCCCAGCAACCACATGGTGGCTCACAACCATCTGTAGTTGGGTCTGGTGCCCTCT